CAACGTCACCGAGGCGACGCGACGTCGCCTTTTATGCTATATATATATATATATATATCGTCCGGTAACGGGCGGTTCGTGTACCGGTCTGCTGACGGACTGGTACATACCGCCCGTACCGGACGGTATTATTCGAAATTGAAAATCTTGTTAAATAGTATATAGTTTACATCCTTGTTTAGGGATGGGATCAATCATGAAAAGCATGATCCACAAAATATTCCCACACGTAATGGTCTCCACCTTTTATTAGGTAATTTGAACATAATTTAAACAAAAAAAAAACTTTGAACTCAAAAAATTGGATATTATCCACTGCTTGAAGCGAAGGCAGTTATTCATGAAATCATGATACAGGCAGAGAACAATGAAAAACCAACAGCAACAATTGTTATACAAAAACAGATCATTATTAAAAATAAGATACCTTTGCAGAAAGTTTATTGAGTTTACAGAACTAAGCAATTTAATAGGTATTGAACTCACCTGATACCGGTCCCAAGTCTGTTTGTAACCTAACACTACTCGACTCAGATAAATTATAAGTGCACTGATGGCGATCACATCAAGAAGAACAGCAGACCTGCTTGTGCAGAAAAATGATATTTAAGAAGCCCTCTGATTTAGAAACTTGACAAATAAAAGGTGATTACAGACAACAATAACATGAGGTAAAACTCCTCTAGAAGACAGAGACAGAAGAACACAGGAGATTTTACACTATGCAGAGAAGTTCCATGTATGCACTGAATCATGACATCTTACCATACTTTCCATCAGCTATAATCCTTTGGTTATAAAATATTAATTCTTACAGTGTTTCTAATCCAAATAGCTATTCCATCTATCTAAAACACACTATCTATCAAGTTTCATTTGAAATAGATCATCAGGCCCTACAAAGCTATCAAGTTCACGACAACTGTTAATGGACTTATGTGTGCCAAGTAAACAATTTCAAATAATCAGCAACTTAGTTTGGAACTTCTCATTACGAATATGTTAAGAAGGCCCCAGTGTTGTGACATAAAAACTGAAAAGAGAAAACTTAGATCCACATCCTCACTCAAACCTATATTATATACATATTTCCTCAATGAATATGTTCTATAACTCTGTCCTCTCTGAGAAAAACAATTTCCAGAGAAATTGAATAGCAGATTATCTTGTACTTAGAAGAATTTGTTGTCCTTCGACTATGTATTCAAACAATAAAGCATAGATAGTGAAAGACCAAAGTAGAATAACAAGCTCTTTAATGTATAACTAGATATATAGATCAGGGTTCTTTATCTCGTATTGTAGGATAGGGTTTTTAAGTTAGAAATAAATATACATTTAGTATAGTTTTAGCAAAACTAATGTAAATTAGGCAAGAATAATGTCACATATTCTTTTCGGGCTTTGAGGAGTAGCTTTGTGTAAGGTTCGTAATTTCGGTCTGTTCCATATCATTCTTCCTCTTAATCCTCCCAAATTAACCTTCTAAATTCGATTCAATCCATAAATTATTGTTTTGTTGAATTTAGGAGAGTGAAAATATGAGAATAAGAGAGAGAATGTGAGAAAAAATGAGCTTGAGAGAGTTTGAGAGTGAAATGGATTGAAATAGAGGGGAGGAAAGGGTTTAAAAACCCTTGAGGAGGCCTCCAACGGTTAAATCAACCGTTAGAGTACTGTTACCATTTGGTAATGATTGATTTCGACTGTTATCACCCTGTACAACCTTGTATCGCTCGATACAGGGTTAGATGCCTGATACCACTCAGTAACGAGCGGCCCGCGTGCCAGTCTGCTGGCGAACCAGTATGTTCCGCCCATACTGGATAGTACAGTACGGTATTGCAAACCCTAATATAGATAGTAGATACAAAAGGACAAACAAAAAAAAATTAGAGATTTATTGATGCACATATCCATAGTGAAAGGACTGTGCAGTTCAAAAGAACCAAAATTAAGAATTCACTTTCATCTAATATTTATAAGGACCTCATGAAAGTGCAGGTTTGCTTTTTCAGGATGAAAATGAAGTTAGAAGTGTATCACATGCGTACGGAGAAGAGGCAATGTTCTCAAATTTGTAATTAATAAAGTATGCCAACAATCCAAGTAAGCTTGCAACATCCAATCGCACCTGTAGTACAAAATTTAAAAAGTATTTTTGAGGCAAAAGAGAATAGTCAATAACTTATGATTATTATTCAATATCAACCTTAGAGTAAATTCATGAATATGAACATACCGTATCTAGGATACGGAAAGATAATTTCTTGTGGGGAAAAATAACCTGCATTTGAAATATTCAAATACATGTAAGCTTGTTTTCGAAATAAACTTCAAACGACAGCATATGCAGAAGCTGAATGGTATATCCATTTCAGAATTACCACAGTCTAGAATTATATTAATTTACCGGGAGATCTGGAATTGGTATTTTCTCATATATCTTTAACTGGAGAGGGTCAATGCCAGGTATGTCATTTTCATTTTGATCTTCTTTCTCATTATAAAGGAGGACCAGTTCTTGAAAAGCTGGCTCCTGATACAAAATCAAAACAGAATTTCAAACATCTGTTAAACAAATGTCTGACAGTAGATATAATATACAATAACAACAAGAAGTTGTAAAATACTAGTTACTTGGGACAGCTACATAAATCTTTTGTTGCCATTAAGCTCTATAAAAATCAATCTCATAGTTAAATTAAAAGTATTTAAATCTTTATTTATAGTTTATACTTTATAGTAAAATCTTCTGAGGTATTCTTCAAGTTCTCCCATACCGGTAATACTAATTGTGTCATTTCTTCTAACTACAGCATCTATCGACCTTCTTAGCACATGTCCATATAAATGATTTTCTTTTTCTTTTATCCTCTATTGAAGTCAATAGGTAGAAATAAAATAAAAAAAATCAATATTCTTGTGCCCAAAGAATTGTGTACATATCTACCAACAAAATGCAATGACATATATAGAACTCATATATAAACTTACTTAATGGGCCATTATAAGTTCAGTAGGGCATTTTATTTTTACCCATTTAAAAAGGGCCATCAGGTGGGTACTTCATTAGTTTGCTCTTAGCTTTCAAAACATAGCACTTACATTTTCTATGTTCTCCTAAATCTTTTACTGCAGAAAGTCAAGAACCAAGGGGTCCAAAAGTTTAAAAGCATCACATGAGACTAAAGATAAAGTGAGTGTAGCTCGATTTTTAGCACTTTCCTTTCCTTTCATTTTCTTGACTCTTTCAAATCTTCCATTTACTCTTCTTGTCATTCTTCTTACCTTTGTCAGTGTAATTTTCATTTTCTTCCATCCTTGCTTCGGATTTCTTACATTCTGCAAATATTTCTAATTAAATTTGAAGTGCAATAAAATATTATTGATTACAGATGCTAGACTCCAAACTAAAGTTTATTAGTGACTGTCATACCATCTTACTATTCTGATACTCAATTATCATTGAGTTTAATATTCAGAGACAGTCTTAAATCTACCTTTGATAGTTACCTATTGATTCAACAGCATATATTGCCTCCATCCAGTGTCAGATTCATACTTATTTTATACCACACAATGTGCCAATAAATATACTGCTTCCAAGCAACATTCCTCGCATCATTTCTAGAAGCCTTAAAAAGAAAACAATAGGCATCCATGTTCACATAAAATCTGGCAGTTTTTAAAACGTGCCCTAACAAATTATATCCATTCATACTAACATCACAGTGACAAAATTCAACTATTCTCGTCAGCTCTAGCATCTTGATCAATCAGCAGTTATATTCGGTTTTGGTAAATCTATCAGAGAAGGTATAACATGGGATTCTTTTGACTATACTCAACATAAAAGATGCTTAGTAGTAAAGATGATAGTAAATTACACGATTGTATGAAGAAAAATTCAGATTTAAGAGTTGAAAATTCTCATCACTAAGTATAAAAGTTAGTTGTCAATTACCTGAAGGGTTGACTGTGAGCATAGAATGTAAGCTGCAGTTTTTAACATTTTCCATACACTATAGCTACATGATTCCCTTGAAGCAGGTTCCCATATGTTGCTGAGAGTTATCCTTGGAAGAAAGTTTGTCCTAAAAAAATTCTTTTTATTTAATTCCTATACATCACAGCATCTAAAACAGCAAGAAATATTCACAAACAAGAATTTAAAAATTATAAAGGAATTGCAGAAAATGAAAATATATGAAAAGTAAAAGCAGGCAGTTCTAAATAAAAAATTTGCATGAAACACAAAGTGCTGGACAAATATGAAGCTGAAAGTATATGTTGACCTACAGCAACAATTAATATAGCATCTTCCAGAGAAGTCATGGACCAAGAGACACAGTTTGGTTTTCTGTTACTGATCACACATCACCATAAAAGAAAGAGAAACATTTTAAGTTTCAACTGTTTTGGCTTCAAAACTGAAACTTTCCATATTTTTCTTTATTTAGGATCATGTTCTCCATTAACCTGTGAGTCAATGTCTACTGCCTATGTTTATTCATCTTTATTCATCTCATCACATGGTAGTTGACTAGTTTCTCCAGCTTATACATTGTCACCTTGCTGGCAAACTTTGGGGATTGGGGACTGCTTTATAGCACAATCAGTTAGGCACCCACTACCTACAAGCCAATTAGACAGTGTAGCTTGGACTACCACACACCGTGATTTGGTGCCACATCGGATATCAAAAAAGATTTAATTTAATTTATAGGGTTAGATGGGTCTAGTATTAACTTAGACTTAAACAGTTTAAATCAATCACTCGGATCTTTCAAGTTAATGAGTCAATTATTATATTAGGGTGGATTGTATATGATATCAGAGTAGATCTATTCTTAGACATAGTGAATGATCCAGATGAAAAAAGACTATCATGGATGGGGCAAGAAGAACATCGCCAATATTTTATTATTGGGCATGGGCAAAAGACATGGTGCCACTGGGATAGACCTCATATGCACCATAACATATTTTGCTTTTGGGCTATGAAAATGTTGGCCATGAGATTCGTGCTGATAGGAAGGTTACGAATATGAGGATTAATCTTGGTGGCATGACTAAAGCCCTGTTCTTCGGTCCACACTCCTTTTGTTTGTGTTTGCATAGTAGGACACAAATTATTTGCCCTTGCCATCATCATTAGTAGACATACTATGATCCACGTCATTGTCATCTTCGCGAACCTCACGAAGTATGAAAGCTGAAGGAGAAGACGTCTCATCATCCAACTATATTTGTTGCTCATCAATTGCTTCTAAAGAATGAACGGACTACAACAAGCATATAGCTACAGATGTGAAAGCAATGTTGATGTCGATAGTGATATAAGACCATGATTTGGTTCTGATTTGTGTAATGTTCTCAAAGTATTGGCTGACTGTATTCAGATTAGTCACAAATGAAACTCTCAACCATCCTCAAACCATGTAAACAAAACCCAAGTTGCAAACTTACAAGTATCCAGGTGGCTATTAGTATTTAGCACATATATGATAGAAGCATACCGAACCATTACATTTGGAAAATGAATAAGAACATCAGCACAGGTCTCAGAAGCATACACAACATACCTAAAAAATAGGAATATTACTACAGATTTAATTAGAAAAGGCACGTTTCATTTCTCTTTTGTCTAATAATATATTTTTATTTTTCATTTATTTCTATTCTTTAGCTAATTTGAAGCTGTGGTTATGTTTTCACATCCAAGTCCAAGTTGGGCAAAAGGCTAATGTTGAGCAAAAAAATTAAAAATTACGAGCACTAACCTCAATTTGGTCTCTGGATTTACTTTATCATCAAAGTCAGTTGTTGCTTCTGGGAGTGAAGGAATTATTCCAAACCAAACAAGCATTCGTCTTATGAGTCTTCCACGAGGTCCTACAGGTGATAAAAGCCCTTCGTAACGAGAGACAGCCTTTTGTGCAGCAAGCCAAACAGGAAGATCAATATCTGTTATCCGGTCAGTGTCTTGATGATTTCTTGATGTGCTTTCACAATAGGACAGTGCAGTTTCAGGAGAATATTTCTCCCTAAGCCAAATCTTCAGTTTATCCATCCAAATTTCGATATTTTGCACTTCATGATAACGCTTCAAAGCCTGTTGTCAACTAAAAAGTATATGAACAGGAAGCTTAAATTTATGAAGAGGGAGGTGGCAACTTGAAATTTAAACAAACTTGACAACTTAACTTGAAGAAAGAAATTGAATACAAATTAGAGCAAGTACCAAAAACACTCAGCAAATAGAAAGACACAAGATATCCCTAAATTTCTAACAGAAAGTGAATGGTAAAGTTCTCTTTCATTATTTCCAAGGTTCAATATATGAAAAAGCAAGTCTGAAATGATTTCTTTTGATGCACTATTAAAAAGATATATGAATCTTGCAACAAAAAGCATTTTGGAACCAGACATATATGAATGCACATGAATATCTCTAGGTTTTAGAAGATCAAGATGTTGAAGCCAAAATCTTCACTTAATAGAAGATCCACCAAACCTACAAGCCAGTTGAACCTGCATGTGACAGGAGGTTCACAAGAAGGAACCAGGATGAGTTGGTGCAGGACTGGGATACATGTGCAATAAAAATAAAAGAGAAAAATTGTGATAGCAAGCTAAATTGCACGGAAATAATGACACTATTGCAAAAGCTGCATGCTCCTGTTGCAATTTGACTTATGCAGGAGTCAATTTTATCATTCATATCCACTTCAGAATACTCTTTCATAATAAAGAAACCAAATATAGGCATGTGGAGTAAAAAAAAAAAGAACAAAACTAAAACCACAGCTGGAAGGATTTATCTCTCATGAAATGGTTCAATAGTGATGCTTCGCTCATAAGTATAAAATGAAAATAAAGGAGGCGTAGAATTAGGTACTGATCACATAAAAATAAAAATAAAAATAGAATCTTAAATAACTTATACCTTTAGTCTTGCCCAACCAAACTAAATATAAACAAACATCAAAACATCAAGAACTCCTGATGACTAGACAAATTCATAATAAATGTCATTAATACAAGGGAATATCAATGTAAAAAGAAGGTCAACTAACCTCATTAAGCCATCTTCCAATTCTTTTCACTGGTTTTGATAGATTAAAGAAAATCTCTTGCAAGAGCTTTGACTGCAGATAATCTAATTTTTCAACAATAAGGAAACCCTTCTGCCTCTCAGTTGCATATCCACGCCTGAAAGACATTGAGATACAAGGCTAAATAGATGATACAATGATATAACCATGGAAGAAAACTAATTCACAAGAGAAGCACTTCACCATTTTAGTGACTACATTTTGTTGTCAAATATGCACTTCACCAATTGCATATCCACACCATTTTGTTTTCAAATAATATTTCAGTGATACCAAAAACACGCCTTAATATTCATCCAATAGATTTGTAACACTGCAGCAGCTGTCGAGATATTACCACAAGAATATGTTGCAAACTAATATCAATATGTAGCATTGACCAAAATAAGTATTGAGTTTTGTTTTGAAAGTTTCTTCCCCATCCAGTAGTTCATTAGAAATAAATTATATGACAAGACAAACCATTACAATAAACACAGCATATTTTTATTCTAAGATTCCTACCAAAATACATATGATTTACAAATGAATTATTATATATTCCTGTTTCAAACTTTCATCCATTAACAGAAGTACTAAACTAAATAAACATGGCAATATAGAAAACATAACCAAGTAAATATATTGGGTATGGACAAATAATTGTTTATTCATCGACTTCCAGTACATGATGTTTCTGATGATGTTAAGGCTGCCATTTGTTCTTTGTGCAGCACTATCTCTGAAACTACTTAACACATTTATTGAATATCTACAGAAAAATATTGTTGAATTAATTCAGGTGCATCTATGTAGAAAATGAGATGTTTGTATGTTTCAGCATCACAGATGAGTTCTGGAAACAGGCTATGCTGGGAGACCATGGAAAATGGCAGTCAGAATTGGGTTGGAATATCTTCAGTTCAATTGAATAAGCCAATTTGAAGGTAAAGAACATCAAACCATAAGTCTGATGTTAAGAATGACAGAATACATATGAAACTGGGAGCACATGAGAAAGCATTGGCATCAGTCCTGCTCAAACCAATCAGATTCTGACTGTTTTCTAAATTTTAATGGTTAAAAGGCCACAATTTTAGCTCAGCAACGTCCAGTTACACCAGGATATTGTGGGATTTAGAGACGAGGCTAGTATGTTGCTCAGCAATTCTCAGAGTAACACATCTATCTTTCTTGCAGAGTTTAAGGCTTTAATAAATACATTGGAAATTGTGATTTAGAAAACAGTTGCCATAAAAGTTTGAACCAGATTCAGAAGCTACTGTCCAATTCAGCATGGGAGAATGCCATGGTATGCCAACAGAATTATGTTTTAAATATCCAATAATCCAAGAATGCAAAGACTGAAATGGAAGGAACAAAACCAGGATGCATCGGGCAAAAGAGGGAACACTCTGTCAGTTTTGATGGCTATGATTAACTGATCATGAACATATCAGTTTTAATGAATTTTCGACTTAGATTCTGTATTTTGCCTAAATGATTTTGGCCTGTACAAAACATTTGTTTAGTTACACCATGAACTGAATACAACAAGCTACAAGTAGTCATAATGTACCAACTTTTTAAGTTGAACTACATGTATATTTTACTGTCATTAAGAGCATTTAAATCTTAATTTATATTTTAAGAGCATTCAAATCTTAATTTATAGTTTAAACTTTAAATTAAATTCATTTTAGGTTTTCCTCCACCTATCTTTGTAACACTAATACTAATTAGTAATTACCTCATCTCTTCTAACTACAGCTTAAATGAGAGTAGATCATTACTTCATTTATTACAATCAAAAACTAATTAATTCTGACAATTAGGTTAAATACACTGGAAAAGTGTTTAGGATCTCAAGAATACTCATGTTACTACACCTATAAAAAGAATATATGAATTGCAACAATCAATTGCTTAAGCAAAATATCAAAATCTAAATGTTTTACCAGTATAAAAAAACTAGGATCACACCTGAATATTATTGCATTTGATTCAAAAGCTTTTTTCCAGTCCACATATACTGGGAGTGTCAAGAGATAGTCATTATTTAATGCATTTGTTAATAGTAAATCCTCTACTGACAATTCTTCAAACTGAGCATCTTGTAGAAGCTTCATAAAGGAGTGCTGAAATTTATTTGCAGCAGCAACTCTGCATTTGAAAACCACCTTTATAACAATTAGAAGTGGCAGATCAACCTAAACTATACAGTATGACTAATAAGTTCTTCCATAGGGACAACAGAAGAAAAGAGTTACAAATATATAAAACAGGATTAAATTGTTTCAGCTGCTTGTTTAAGAAGGCAAATCATACAATATGGTTCTTCAGAACTTTCATTATTTAAATTGATGTACTGTCATTATTGATTTATTGATTCTTTAACATCTGCAAGTAAGATTAATAATTACAAACCATACACAAGACTGACATGATTGAAACTTTAAACTAAAAGAAAATCTCCCACCAAGGACTTGTGAATTTTCAACTATTTCAGGTTAATAACAGAGTTCTATCATTATTTCATCAATACAAGTCAAACCAAAGGCTTGATCAGATAGTTTCAAAACTAAAATTGTGTTCAACAGTCAATATATTTAGATTTCCTTAAGAAAGAAAGATAAGGAGAGTCAATACACTCAATACTTGTCATTTACAGGTTGTATGATGAAGCTGTAAAAGGATAAGACTCAGATTAGACCAGAATCCCACTAATCCAGTCTATAACCAAAATGCCCAAACATTCTGAACTTATCACATCCCAATATTCTTTGATTTATTTCATTAGGCCAAGACCTGAATTTATGTGATGGTGAACATACCACAAAGATCATTTTGTATAGGTTGTTTGCTATTAGTTGGATGATCAGACCATCTAACTATAAGTCTATAAACATATTCAGCTTAAATAGGAATGGTTTTTAAATTAGATCAAAACACATCCAATCAACTGACATGTCTCCAATAAAAGGAATGACTGACATCTATTACTTGGTCATAATGCAAAAATAAAATATTATGTCTAAATGTATAAAAACCAATAGACAATATTAACGTATCAAATATTGCTCGTATCGGTTAATATGCCCTGCATTTATCAGCCCGACAACCAACTAAGATGTTGATCGGGCGATTTCATCCGGTTTCGTCCCACATGGGCAGCAAATAGCCTGGTATAGTCTGGTACTAGGGGACAAGCTTAAAGACCAATACCTATACTATTCTTTTTTTTTTCAGCATTTATATTGACAATTGTATCTTCTAATTTTGATTCCCTCAAACTCTTTCTCAAAGACTCCCCCTCCCTCTCATGCACTGTCTCCCTCTTCTCTTCTCCACAGGACCTCCTCCTCTGCCTGCCATTTCATTGAAGTCTCCTCCTCATGCAAATCATTGAATCCTCCTACTAATATGCATCCACCTCCTCCACCTTCTCTTCCTCCTCATCCGCCTCCTCTTTCCTCCTCCACCACCCCCTCCTCCGCCTCCGCCTCCGCCTCTGCCTCCTCTTCCAACCTTCTCACCCTCTTTCTCTCTAGTCCAAAGGGTACTAACCCGCAACAAGCCATACTACTCTGGCTGCCGGTTAGTATTGGCAACTGTCCAATTAATCCTTGGATAGTTCAAAGGCACAGAATCACTATAATATAAGCATTAGTGGCCATCAAGCTATAAGAAAAAGGATAAATTCTATATTTTTGCTTCATACAATGTTATGTACAAAAGGTGCAAATGATTTAATTACCACTTTATCAAATATATGAAGCTTGTATAGTATTAACAAAAGTTCATTTTTCTTGTTCCAAGTCTCTCATATCTGGTGAGCTCATTGAATTCCAGTACTTTGATAAGATGACTATCTTAACTGAAATCTAATATTATTCTCTCAAATAATTGAAATCTATATCTTCTTATCTCAAAGTAACATAAATCTAAATCTTTATCACCTGCCATGAATATATATCACATCACTTCAAAAAGGTCCGTGTTTGTAGCTTCATACTTGGCCATTGATTACACCAATTATAAGGAGGAAAAGCTTCCTGCTGCAGGTAGTATCATGACTAAAGTTGGATAAGCAATTATATCTACTTGGTCATGCAATGAAAAGTAAGAATATTCTGTTTGATTTGTCAATGGAACAATCTGCCACAAAAGTTGGTATAACATTATAATGACGCACCAATCTAGGTGTATTAATGATCCAATGTGAAATGGTCCTTGTTTTAAGACAACCTATTGCTTTGGGTAAAACTCACAAGAAAAATTATATAATTGTTTATCGTCAAAAGAATGAAAAGTACATGGATCCTCACCGAACAATATAGAAGCTTAATTTGCTACTCGGTCCTATGTTAAGCAAGCTAATTATATTGCAGTTTGTGTTCTACATAACAGTCTAAAAATAGTACTTTTGATGAATGTCCCATACTTCAAGGACATTTAACAGATAAAAGTGGCTTGCAAGGAAAATAATTCTGTACTTTGGACTGAACAAAGTTAAATTAACAAGTCTTGGAACCCTTTTGGTTTTGGGTCCATCAGAAAATCTTCTTCAAAATGAACACTTGGTTTCAAAGATCAGACTGAAAGATCAACACTAGATTACGGTGTCGACCATATGTACCCACCATGCAGCTTCTGAGTCCAGAAAATTCTTTTCAAACTCAAAAATAGGATAACCAAGATTCAACTGAGATGAGCTTTATAAGTAAAGGTGCCAGCCATAGTACTACATGCATGTAACAAGCTGCATTCATCATGGTACCCTATAAACATTTGAGGCTCAGATTATGGTGTCCATGTTGGCGCCTAGCCATGGGCTCCACATGCAACACCTAAATCCTTCTATCAAAATTTGGCTATACAACCTATATTACCAAAATCTGTATTGAATCAAACATATATAATATGAAGAACAGCTTCCTTTAGCAATCAAAAGACAGCCATGGGATTTCTTGATTGTGCATGTCCAATACAAACTCTGGTCTGACACAAAGCAGAAGCTATAAATATTACATTTTCTGATGAGTTATTCTAATAGTAACCTTATGTTTCTTCTGTAAAATCACATAAGCAATCCCCAAGATATATACTCCAAAGGAACAACTGTAACTAACCTTGACCCAAGAATCGAATCCACAGGAGACCGTCCGAATAGTTTCCTTAGGTCCCAACCATTACTAAGATATAACAGTTTATCAATGTCATCATTTCTGGAGCTGTTTGCTTCCCCATTTCCAGTACTATCAGAACTCTCACTTGAAATATGCTGCCTGTTGTAATCATCTTCTTCCAGTTTCATTGAAGAAAGCCCAGCATGCCGTTCTTTTGAACATGTGCTTGAGTAATAAGCCCTCATCTCCTCCAAAATACCTTTATGTTCAGCATGAAGGATGGCATCCAAGCACCTGAAGATAGGACAATTTATTTTAATTCCAATAAAGCTTTTTAATAACAAAAAATAATGAGATGGCAATAATCTTGAGAATCAGCATGATGACAAAGCAATTCACCATAATTGAATAGACAAAAATCACTGACTGCAGAAGAAACTTCAAGATTGAAAATAAACAAGAACATCTTTGGCTCTTCACACATAACAATGGAACAAACATGAATATCTTCCTCATAAAAAACTTAAATAATTTTGTGAGAAAAAAGATGGGAATCTTTGAGAAATGACACTAAAAGTTAATGAAAATACTAAATTAATTATAAAAAATGTCAATGAAGATAAACTCGGCCTTGAAAACTTTAGAACTTCTAAGGAGCTAGTAGAGAGCATCCAACAGTGAGTTTCTGGTTCTTTTGAAGAAGAATTGCAGCCGTGGCCTATCTTAGGTTGCGATTCATAATGACAGATCAAAAATTCAACATAGTAAAACAAGTAGATATTGAGAGGAGGAAAAAGAAGGAAAAAAACAGGAGCATGGGTAACCCAACAAATTAGTACAAGATACATAATCAGAACCTAACCACTCAGTCTTCTTCTCCTTCCACAATTGGGGAAATCCTAACCAAAACAAATAGTCGTACCGTCATGGAACCCTTTTAAGATGTCTTTAGATAAGCCATAACCCAAACAAATATTCTTACCTACATGAAACATTCATACTAACATGAAACCCCTTTTAATGTCTTTGGAGAAGCCCTAACCGGAAAGAAATATTCATACTGGCATGAAACCCCTTTTAAGATGTTGTATCCTACTATAATATTTACACAGTTGGACTGATTTGATCACCGATCCATTCAAATGCGAAGCAAAAATTCAAAGAGGACTTAAATCTTTTACGACATTTATCCCTGCAGCATGCTGTGGCGGAGACCGTTACATAAATTGTGATACTTCCATCCACTTGACAAGATGACCTTATCAACATATAGAGCTTTGAAATGATCATATTCAAAGCTTAAAATAATGACCCAAGTACCCAACCACGGGTATAGCAAAAGCTTTATCACATTTACAGTGAACCCACCTTCTATCCATTTGACAAAGTTCCTTTCTAGATGCAAGCAAATATCAAAGTACTTCAAAGCATTATAGCAGTTTACCCTTCCCAGACGTTTTCCTAAGAGTTCATTAAATTCTTGCATTTGCATCTGCACTTTACATAGGTTAGTTTGGAAGGAAATTTCCACTGCAGAAGGAACTATAAAAAATAAGCTTGTTAAGTGTCAAAGGTTATAAATATATATAGGGTACTTTCCTAATAGCTTAAACTTTTGGGATTACTGGTCATCCAATCAGAAACATTTATCATGGTATGAGAGCAAGTCATGTGCTCGAAAAATGTATCAACCCCTCTATGTTTAGTCCAATATTTAATCAATACTTGTGAAAATCCTTCTTAATTGACCTGCACCACACACTTGGTTCGATTTCACATGTGCTTTCACCTGAGAGAGGATGTTAAAAGTTATAACTTTATATGTCTATATGTATGTATGTATATATGTACGGTCCTTTCTTAAAGCTTAAGGTTTTGGGATTAGGACCACCCAATCAAAATCTTTATCGTAAAGCATTGCTTTCCTAATATTTTTGTCCGTACCGTTGGTAATTGCTGCTAGTTTCTCAGTCTCTCAAAGAGACATCTGCTGAACCTCATATGTTGTTCTTCAACAGGGCTTCTAAGTAATCCTACAATAACCAGGAACAAATTGAACCGAAGCAGAAGATAATGGTGTGCTAGAAAAGAAGAATCCCATGCATTTGTCATTTCATTTCCGATGTTTTGCCACAAGGAAGCAAGCTTACATGGCCAAGCGCTTAAACTCCTCAGCGTCCTGCTTCGATCCGAACATGGTGAGGATGGCATCAAGGAGATCGTCCTTGGTAACAGAGATGTACTTCTGCCTGGGCACGTAAATCCCGGATATCCCCTTCCGCTCCTTACGGGGTGGCGTATCATCATCCTTCTCGGAAGTAACCTTCGACTCCTCCGTCACAACAGACCCTGCAGCCGGTTCCGAAGCCGAATCGTATCTCAGATGCTGCGTGGGAGTTACTCTCGGGGTTCTCAAAGCGCGCGGAGAAGACGAGGAGCCCGCCACGGGACGAACGCGGTAGCGAGAGGGAGAGGCGAGGGGTTTCTCGAAGCGTACATGGAAGAAGCTCGGTGGAGAACTCGATCGGAGCATTATGAGGAAGAAGACGATCGAGCTTGGTGGAGGGAAGACTGGGGAAAAGGGCAGCGGAGGGCGACTTGGAGCATCTCTGACCGCCACTCTTTCGGAGGGGGGTGTCGTGGAAGCTTGGGGATTTCCTTCGTGGGGTACGGAGGGAAGCGAAAAATCTGCGGCTCCGGGCGGTTGGCTCCGGTGATGCCGAATTCGGATCGAAACCTAATAAGATCCGAATCCGATAATTGTCTTAAATTCGTATATTGATGTAGAATCAGAATCAGAATCCGAATCCGATGTGATACAGATTGACGCTTTAAATACCACCGTATGTTGTCTGTAATATATGTGCTGAGGGAGATGTCCTGATAACAAAAGTTCAATATACGAATTACCAACACTTATCTTTTCCGATAAATTTTGTATTTTATTTGGTGATAGTATGTATATCCGATCTATTTATTAAAAAAATTTAAAATTTAAAATTTAAAAGGGTTCAAAATTTCATTAGATAATTTTCTAAAGATGTTAGTAGTCATAAAACCCTTGACTAGTTAGGTGTTGGAATCAAATCTCCTCTTCACCATTATTCTTTGGTATAACAAATAAAAAACTAATAATATCAAAAAAAATTACAGACACAAGATTTATATTATTTGAACTCCATATCTAAATCTACAAAAATAATAATAATAATTTGAGGGGGTGTATACAAATCTTGTATACACCCCCTCAAATTTTACTTATTGGTTCATTTTACAAACACCATAACTATTGAAGATATTTCTCAAATCTTTCCTAACCAAAATCTAGAACTGCATAAAATATTTATAAAATTTCTTGAATATCTTATTGACCAAGTTTTTTAATTTTTAATATTTCTTTCATTCATATATATGAATTTCTTATCACGCAAGGATATAGATATGGGTTAAATGTATGATTTCGACCAAAAATATATTACAGATTTAGATGTGTAGTCATTGCTGATAGGACATATTCTAGCACGACTTGCGTGGCGGGCAACAGCCACCTTATGCCCGATGTAGCGCATGTGCACTAACAAAGCACCTCAGGTGGTGCCACATGGCACAAAGCCATGCAGGTCGGCTTGAGCCATGCAAAGAGCATGGGTCGACCTCCTGAGATATCATAGATCATTAATGAGCCTCGTACTATCGACCCTCCAACAAACATATATAAAAGTCAATCCCCTCTTCACTAACAAGAGGACACACCTCAAACACCTATATATTACCTCAAACTGACTTAAACTTTGAAAATACCAAGTTAGGAACCCCCCTCCTGACGTCGACCTTTTTTTACAATTAGTAGCAAACCAAGGTTCGTCTTGACTCGACCAGTGAGACTTCTCCCCAATTCTACCTAGTTTTATCGTTACGTCTCCTTATTCTTGTATGGATTGTCCTGTACCTTCGAGACGGAACCTAATCGTGTCGACTCCTCAGTCACGACATTAAGTTCCACAACAATTAGCACTGAGTATCTAGTTTATATGTATAAATCTAAAAATAATTAGCAATCCCAATAATATAACAATTGAAATATTATTATTTTAATTGGAATATGATGTTGAAACATAATGGTAAATTGGAATTGTAATTTCTCATACTATTTTAGAGGTATACAATGAACTAATGCTAGAAACAAAAGATTGTGAGTAATATGTTGCTGCTAAAAGATAAAAAGCTATTTGAAACTGCTACAACGAAATAAAGTATTGCTGTGACTACTTCCATGGATTGGTATGTATGTGATGTCCACAAGACTCTTCTTAAACTTAATTTGATTCAGGTCGGCACGAGGAACAGAGTCTCTTCCTCAGTGGTGAAGCTTGCGATTGCGGAGCAAACCGTCACAACCACCACCAGAGTTGCCGCCGCGAATCTCATGGCTTTCCTGCTGCTATCCATCGAAGACACGCCCTGTTCCTTCTTCTCAACCTCTTCGACCTCTCCTTCGCCGTCAGCTCTCATCTCTTCCTCCTGTTCTTTTCCCCACCTGTTCTCGTCCTCAGCATCCTTTCTGTCACTCTCATCATCCATATGCACCACCGCGCAGGACTCGATGTCAGAGAAGGCAAGCGAAGAAGTCTCAGGGTGATCGATAACCTCATGGCCGGCCATGGATTCTGCCCACTCGAGGAAGGTGTTCTCGAGAGCTGAGAGCTTGTCGGCAATGCAGCTGATGTGCTGTGAGCAATCTGTAGATTGCGACTCAGCCTCGGCTCTCAGGATCTTTTTCATGAAATCGATCTTCTTGGCCATCTTCAACAGGTCAACGCTCTCGGACGCGAACGCCATGGGTTGCTGCAGGAGCTTTCCGAACTCTGATTCAAGTGCTTCGATCTTTCTCTGCAGTGTAGGGTGATTGGCCATTGTTTCTGCTCTTTCTCGTCGTCCTCCTCCTCCTCCTCCTCCTCCTCCGAAGAATTCTTAGGTTGGCAGCAGATCTATGGCAACGTTTCGTTATATATGACCGAGGAATACCCTACAGTTTGGGATTCCGAATCCGAATTCACATCATGCAATATAAATAGTTGGATTTAGGGACTCATGCAGGAAAGTAGCTTCTTCTGGTCTGTATACATTAGGCATTAGGTTATATCGTAGAGGTGTTGATGAATCACTGAATAGTTGCTTATTATAATCTGATGCATACCACAATTTTTTTTATGTTTTTTTTGGACTTTAGCAAAGAACAATTAATTGTCACTAATTTATGTGATTTTTGGACTTTAGCAGCATTTTTTAGAAGTCTCATTACATATTTTCCGGAGATCACACTATGTGAGATCTATCAGATCATAGATTTATTTGATTGCAGGGTAAAGGATCTTTTGTTGAATTTATTTTATGTAAAAGAAATGTAAAGTAAAGGCAAAGGATTTGGAGATGTTTTATTTACTTATTTTGAAGGAAAAATATAGAACATGAAAAACATTTTTTCAGATAAAATTATGTTCTTCTATAATTATTATTCTTCCTCAGAAAACAGATAATTCCATGGAATATATATATAATCATGACTCAATTTAGTAACACAATTTGATGATAATATTAATGTTAATCATCAACTATAGGGAATAACATAATAGGAGTCTCTCTATAATTTTGGTTTCTTGGGATGGGCTAATATGCTACTTGCTAAATTTAAAATGGAACTTACATATTTACAAAGATGAAATCATACATTATATATATATATATATATATATATATATATATATATATATATATATGTATATATTAGAGAAAAGTCCATCCATGGAGTATATGGTGGCAATTATTATGATCTTGCATAAAGATATTGTAGATATATCAATACTCACCAAAGCTAAAAGCATAATGCCAACACAAGCAAGTAGTACTTAAGACATAATTAGATCTATTTTATCAGCTCCATGACCCAAGCACAAGCAAACACATAAGTAGCATTAAACCCAGAAAACCCTGCTGCCTTTGCCATGGCTTCAAACTCCTCCTCAGTCCTCTCTTTTCCTCCAGGATTGAAAGCCAGCATTGCAAGGTCTGCATGGAATGCACACTGGGCTTTTGTTGTAGGTTTGGGAAGTGTTGGGAGGATCAACTCCACCACTATCACCTTTCCTTTCTGTGGCAAAGCCTTCCAACAGTTCTTCAGTATCTTTGCACAGTGATCATCACTCCAATCATGAAGAACCCACTGTGGTTGCCACAATTGAGAGCATCAATTATTTGAACATCATTAATGATAATTTTAGTTATCAGAATTCAGAGTTGAATTCTACAACAATTAGTTTGCTTTTTTGGGTTGAAGCAATGGTGATCTCTCTTCACATTTGATGCAAGTAATGAGGACATCATGTTCTATATTACCATGAATTGCTTTGTTCATTTTGAAGGAAGTCTCAAGTCACTAAAGAACATTACCTTCAATAAAATGGCATCACCTGATGGAACACTTGTAAACATGTCTCCAATAACATGCTCTACTCCTGCAAATTCAAGTAACTTGTGACATTAATATCATACAAGTGTTTCTTCTTGTTAGATCCTAACTCATAAAATTTAGAAATTATTTTTATGGATTTCATGCTTAAAACACAAATATCATACATAATTTGAAATAACTCAAGAACTCTTATTTGTATTGAATTGACCATTTAATTATTCCACTATGCTCAAATCTAAATTAATGATAGTATATTCATCAAATTCTAAAAGCTTTATTTCATCATAAAAGTCTAAACATAATCGACTTATTGTCAATTATAACATTCATGGAGATATCTCATTGGCCAATTTGATTGGATAATTGATTGATCCATAAATTTTATAAACTAAACTTTCTCATTAAAATCGGTGATAATGTATACATGTATGTTATTCATGATGTCCTAACTCACTAGGATAACTAAACGATCCATTAGTTCAATAACCTTGAATTATTAAATCAAAATAGATAAATATAAATTAATAATATACATCTATCGATTGTTTATAGACTATTTATATGGATACTAACTAGAATCCTTTAAGATTGATTTATAATTGCAAAGTGAAGATTAGCAAAAGAACATCAAAATCAAGATCTTTTAATTCTAAAAATATATATAATATAAGAATTTTCAATATGATCACTCTAATAACCATACATACCTAGGAAAGGTGGTGCATCGGAGATAACATGTGGGAGGTCGAAGTTAATGGCCTTGATGTGAGGATACTTGGTGGTGATCATGTGAAGGGAAACACCGATGCCACCACCAACATCAACAAGCGTCTTCACGTCATCGAAACCATGATAGATCTGTAATAGCCTATTGGTTATCATGGTCGATTGGCCTTTCATAGCCTCATTAAATACCTTGTTGAATCTTGGATCGACACCTTGATACTCGAACGCTGTCATTCCATATGCTATGTCGAAGGGAACACCACCATGTAGGATTGCATTCTTCAAATAGTACCTGCCATTATTTATATAGTATTTACAGTATACATAAACTAAATAAGGAGCAATTAGCTATCAAAAAGCGACAACAATCATAAAGTTACCTTAGTCACTTACCTTTGTCAAAAACAAAACATATGAGAAAAATATTATTTATAAAAAATCATAAGAATTTTAGTGATGAATCAAAATTGATTCAACTTGGATTCAAACCTAAGGGCTGCCATATGATAAGAGTCATCACTAATTTTATTCTATTTTAGTGTGAGTTGTATCCATGATTTTGTTATGTTAGAATAGCCATTTTAGGGAGAGGAGTTACTTTTGGCTCTTTTTAGGTATTGACTCTCCAACTCTTCCATAAATATGAGCCTAAATATGATAATGTTAATTTTCTTATTACGGTGTGGACTCTACTATTTCATAACATCTATCACTGCTCTTCTCCTCTTAAATGCTCCACGGTGAGCATCACCTGATAAGTTTCATTATGCACATCCATTAAGGTTCATCACTCATCTCCTCTTCAGGCTTTATGATGATTAAATGTTGTCTTATCAGACCCTCTTAGTTGGGGAGGACTATTCAGGTCTCAAGGTGAGCATAAGGTCACAACTCGTATATGAGTTCTCTATGTTGGCTTTGTGTCACCAATCATGTTCATCTAAATAGGAGTGTCATACTATCGGCTTTCGATTTAGTCCTTGCATGTTACTGGATCATTAAAATAAAAGGCATAAATTTGATCTTTATCTTTAGCAAGTAGATTACCAGCTTCCCATGTGGACCTTATCCTGCATCAGCAAGCACAAAGAAGCCATGGACACACCGGCCTCATCCTTGGTCAGAAGCTTGCAGAGGGGTGTCATGCTGTACTTCCGGGAAGATCCACCGTCGGCGGCAGCCTCGACCGCGCAGTCGACGATGCCGTAGGCTGCAAGCAAGCGGAGGATTCGGTCCACCTCGTCGGCCGCCTTCGGGTTCTCGCTGGGCAACGAGGCCACGATGTCGTCGGGGCTCAGCTTCGCCTGCGGACCGGCGCGGACGATGATCTCCAACAGCTCGAGCTCGATGGCCGCTTTGAGAGTCATGGGGAGAACGGAGGCGCTCGTCAGCTTCAAGGCGTACATGTAGGCCTCCTCCTCCTCCTCGGAGACCGCCTTCAGCATCCCGTTCGTTGGCTCCATGTGTATTATTGATCTGGCTTGGACAAAGAGCTACAAGAAAAGCTATGGAGGACGACCACTGACATGAGTGATGGAGATATATATAGATACCCAACGGGCGCAGTGGCGATTGGAGGAAGCATGCGATTTCATGTGGTTGGAAGAGTAACGGTTAGGAACTTCAAATAAAATAAAATAAAAATAAGGGATAATTATTGATGAAAAAAAAAACTATCGATTTTTATTTATATTATCAAATACAATCTTATTTTATTCTTGAATGAGTACTATTAATTGTGTGGTAGTCATATAAAAAAAAGGTTATAAATCATAGATTATATGTTAAATTACGGTTAATGTCATGGTCTTCAACAAAAATATTTGGGAATTCTTCTAGACATAATAGTTATCAATAAAATTAGATAGATAGATAAATAAATAAAAGTTTAGAATATAGAATTCAGTCAGATTTTTATGAATGATTTAGGTTATAACAACACCAATAATAATAATAATAATAATAATAATAATAAACAAAAATCTTTTCGGATAGTAGTTATGACAATAGTAGTTAGGCTACCGGCATTAATGGCCTGGAATTTACAGAAAAAGACTAATTGTTGGCTACATGATAAAATGGATAATCTTGTTAAATGTATGGTTATGGCAAAATTGGTTGGGCGATTATCATTAATGCCATGGGCTCAAGAAAAGGAAATATTTCTTGGAATATGGTAGTAGTTATGGCATATTTAGTTGAGCAATTAACAACAGTGACGTTGGCTTCACACACGCACACGAACAAATATATATATATATATACTATCATCAGGATAATAATGATGAAACTCAAACTAAAATATCCCTTTAAAAGTATTGAGAAATATGAGAGATAAAATAATTAGTGAAAGTAATAAAAATATTTAAAAATATTTACACATTTGATTTTTTTTTTCTTCCAAATTCAGTGATAATCATGATTAGTGATAATTAATTCAAATTGATTAGATGAGAGTTTAAGGAGGTGGCACACTGAAAATTTTAATATTTGGAGGAATATAGACAAAAAATATAAATATTTAGACTGATATTAAAATGTAAAGTCTCACTCACCATGATTGCTTAGAAATTGAGAGCTAAAATTAGTGCAGAATCAAAATATGCTGAATAAAACTTAAATAAGTCTTACTCACCAAGTGTTCAGGTGCTGCTGTAAGGAGGTTCTGCAAGATAGATTAGAAAGAAAATCCTTACTAATTTCGGACTTCCTGGAAACTATTTTTCGTTGATGTGGGGGTACCCCAAAAAAATCCAATTATGTTCCTCCTTTCTGGATCATTCTAAAAATAAAAAAAAATTTGGAAGGGAAGGGTACAAAAACAAATTCACATTTACAGTTACGTCTATGGTTGCAATTCTAGTAAAACAAAAAACAATGAGCTTAAATTCTTAATTTGAATTGAACAATTATCCGATCTAATTATACATTAAAAATAGAATAGATTAGTGCCTGATTCGGAAAGGGTGAGTTCTCCTGTGGGTGGACCATTGATTCTTTTTCCTTTGACCTCAAAAAATATAATAAAACATAATAAGAAAGAATAGGAATTAAAACAACTTATATCATTGTCAGCAACCGTCTTGAATTTACTCATTAGGTAACTGTGATAAAGGAAACTTTAAATTTACAACTTACACTAATCTCCAAGACATGAATTTTCGTTTTTGAGTCAACAGTAGAAAAAAATGAGCACAAAACTATATCGCGGATCAACCAAGAGTCGATGAAAGCAGCACAACTTAATCAGTCAAAAAAATATGCCCAATTGAGCAGGAAGGTTCTCTAAGTCGTCTGAGGTTGTGGCATCAAATCGAAATGGGTTTCCAGCAAAGAAAGCACTTGGGAAAGTGATGATACCTTGAAGTCTGGTCTTATATCATCAGTGTAAGAGTCAGGAGAGCCATACCTCCCTGTTTCGTCAAGCAAGCATGTGAAAGCTCCTGCTCGCTTCCCACAAACCACCTGCAAGAATATACAAGAATCATCGCATCATCAAACATCACATTACTGTCTTCTTTTTTCTTTTTTTCTGAAAACAACAAAGATCTATATGTTCAAAATAGGCAGCTGGAGCATCATCTGCATTGCAAAAAACACTAGAGCAGTTAGTTCTTATCTAATGAAGTCTCAAAATGGCTGCATGGAATTACCATGTAGTTGGCAGCTATTATTTAAATTGGAGCTTATAAGTTCCTGACATTTCTGGTATCCCGGATATAATGTTGAAAGAGAACAAGCAAAGCGGGATACCCATATTAACAAGTATATATTACAAAAGCAATCATGATCGCACCTTATTGCCTCTTCTTGATTTTTGGTAATGATACTAGATAGATATTAAAGGATACTTTCTAACTTCTATCATATATAATTTTTGAGTTTGTAATATCCAATACACAACAACAACAATGACAGTAATAAAGTTATAAATTCCAACTACTTATGGTTGGCTACATGGTTCTCTTATCGCCATTGAGATCTATAAAGAGTCATATGTCTCGGAGTACTTAAATATTTATTTATAATTTCTATTCGTCATTGAGATCTATAAAAAATCATATGTCTCGGAGTACTTATCTTCTATGGAAACGATACCTAATTGTTCATAAATAATTTTTTTTATGTTCTAATAACTCCAAACATTCATCTCAACATTCACACTTCGACAACATAAACTTTTTATATATGTTGTCTCTTTACTGTCCAACACTCGAATCCATAAAGCATTACTAGTCTCATAACTGTCTTATAAAAATTTTCTTTTAATTTCAAAAATAACTGAAGATCACACAAGATGCCTTTGGAAAAAGTAACACAAGAAGCACATTCTGATGCTATCATAATATGGTGGGCAATACGCTTAACATCCTTTGAAGCAAGGTCTACAATTTCGAATGATATCGCCCGTACCGGGCGATACGAACCGGTCCGACAATAAACCAGTACGCGGACCGCTCGTTACCGGACGATATATATATATATATATATATATATATATATATATATATATATATATATATATAGGCGACATCGCCTCGACGACGTCACCCTGCTTGGGGAGAAGAGAGGCGTCGCACTTTTTTTTTTAAATTTTTATATATAATATATATAAATAAATAGATATATAAATAAAATATTATATATATATATATATATTAATATATATATACCAAACGGTATACAGTACTATACCGTACCGAGAGAAGGTCAAAATTCCGGTACGGTACGATATTTCAATCCTTGTTTTGAAGAAAATAAAGAACAAAAATTACAATCGTCCAATTCAACAAGAAAATAAAGGGATCAATAAGTTATGTCGTCGACCATTAGTTTCCCACGAAATTTAGCCACCGCACAACGCAATAGGATTAGAATTGCTAATGATTCCACATGTAAATTGTATATGCAAGAACAAAATGAGAAATCAATAATTCCGAAAAACAATACTAATAAATGGATTTGCATGATCAAGGACTTGCTGATAGCTACAAATTTAATTATTGGATCAAATTCACTCACATCATCCCGGAGGCTGTCACCAATCATCATGACTTCACTTGGAGGAACATCCCATATTGAACATATATGCAACAAAGGAGCTGGATCTGGCTTATAAGGACGAAATTCCCTACTTAGTGCAGGGACAAATTCCATCTACCACCACAGCAAAATTATATTAAAAATTAATCACAGCAAGTAAAAACATTTTGTTTTTCCCCGTACTGCAACAGATGCAAGAGGGTTGAAACCAAATTTTTATGTATATCCACAAACAGTTATCATAATCATAATTTGTCCATCGAATTCTATTAAACCTTCAAATTTTTTTGCTTTCAGCAACAAATCCAAAATTTTAAACCTTAAAAACCTTTGTGCTGTCAGCTAAATATCCAATTCTGTCATTTGCCAATTTGTTTACAAAGTCCATACTCCATAGAATGATGTTAAATTAAGTCATATTAACAATGATAAAATGGAAATCTATCCAATCAACAGAAGAGACCTGATACGAAACCAAACTGTTAGACTAACCATATTTGATAAACAATTTCAACACTACATTTAAAAATTTTCCTAGCTAACATAACGTTATTATGAGACTACTTAGTTGCTTGCAATTGAAAATGGCCTACAAAATTAGAACTTAATGTGATTGAGAATTAAAAATTTACAAATACAATTCACATGTAGCTGCCTGCATTTGCAACTAATTTTTGTTCAGTCGCTTTGCAAGTCATTCATCCAAAGCATCTTGATGTAGTGTTGGAAGATGATGGAATAAGGGAGAGTTGTGATGGTCAAGATGGATGGTCAAAGGGAATACCGTGGTCAATAAGGGTGATGGGAGGTGCAATGGAAGGGGATAATTGAGATGTGCTAGGAGAAGCAACAAGACGAGTGGTGGTGGTCGGTAGTGCCCATGTGGCCAAGAATAGGGTGAGATGAGTGGCAATGGTCCAGAAGGGTGGCAGACAGGTTCCTATCATTGAGGTGACAGAAAGAGTAGCAACAATATTGGAAGTGGCCGTTGGCCATTAAGGTAAAGAGTGATTGTTGAGGAGCAATGTCGATCAAAAAACATTGTATGATGGTGGATCTTCACCTGCAACTATTTATGAATTCACATGCAAGCAATTTAGTTGCATGTAAAAATTCCAGACAAGAGAGTTTGGTTTAGATATGGAACGGTAATCTGCAAATGCAGTGCAAACAACCATACAAAGGCATCGGATGATACATCTGCATTAATACCATTTACAAATATTATCGACCAAGTAGCCTTTATCCTCCTAACTGGGGCTGCCAATAGGTTGGATTTAGGCCTGTATAGAGTAAGACTGAGCTTGAAACCTTGACCCTTGTATTTTGAGAATGGCCCAAATCCAGCCGTAACCCAATATATCCTAATCCTATACCAGATCTGGCCCAAACCTCAAATCTGGAAAGTCTAAAAATATAGAAGATTCAAGTCCTCTCCGTACATTGTAACTCCTAAGCAGATGGCAGTAAAGATAGCCAGACGACTCAAAGGTATTCCAAGTATTAAAGTTTGTGTTTAAACATCTTTATGGTTGTGCAAATGGCACAATTTTTGCATCAGTAGTGACATTGTTGCACTTGACTGCCAGAGTCAATACGAAATCAAAATCTTTGCCAGTGGTGTCTGCCGAGGCCACCACCATGGCATATCTAAAGAAGAAAGCAAACACAAAGCAATGAGAAATGGAAAAAGAAGGGAGTAAAGGATCAATACAAAGCTGAAGGCAGTGAGAGGGTAATTTTGAAGCAGCGGATGAGGTGGCTATGGACATAGGGTAGTCAAAGTTGAAGAGGTGGCAATGATGGGTATTGATCAACAAATTCAATAGCTCTACTGGCAAGCAGTAATTGATGGAAATGATAGTGGAAGATCTTGCACAAACAAAGCAAAGAAAAACAATGTGCTAGTAGCGAAGCCATTAATCTAGACAACCAACCTTATATATGATTGGTAACTTTGATTATTGTAAGAGAACAATAAACAAGCCCATCGCAGATTCAAACTTAATCAATATTTTGTTGATCTTTTAGAATTAAGGCTTAGTGAGGACCAAAACACCATACCCTTTATTCTGAACTCAAATTTATTAATGGTCCGGACATAGAACTCAGCCATTCGGAAGCCTCAGTTTTAACCAATTAACAATTTCAGATATTTACAATCTCCATTTCATGCTTAATCGAAACTTTCGACATACATGATTAATTTCTTCTCTAAAGAAGATAAGAACACAAGAGAAACAAACTGGTAACTTACCCCAAACCGTTGATGAAATATATCAACTGCCATGTTGACATTGCGAGTTATCAAACCTCTCCTGCAACAGTCGAAAGTCATAAGCAAGCTAGCTAAACATGCAGATCGACGTACATGGACAATGCAGCAAAAGTTGTAGAAAAAGAAAATAGATACTCTGGTAAAACACATGTATCCTGCCTCTTCACATTCTATTAATCCCTTAGTGTATCGATATTATTATTTCCTCTAAATTCCTTAATGTAGCAACAGAAACAGGGGAGTGTTCAAAATGCAGAAAGCATAGTAGTAACTGGTTTAATGTTTCTGAGCTGAGAATCATGGATACAGGGATCACTCCATAATCAGGAGGAATAGAAGCATATAATAATAGCAAGCTTAGATGCTGTGAATATCAAAAGAACAATTCAGAACATGACTTGGAATCTACAGCTATTTATACATGAAAACCTAAGACAGGTAACAAACTTAGAAATAGATGCTGATGTAAGTCCATAAAGAAGTACACTTAATTTTTCAGGCAAAGAGTGTGTGAAATTCAAAAAAAAAAAAACAGACTTATGAAATTAGAGAGGGAGAGAGAAATCTTTACCTTATTTGCCTAGAGTCCAGGTACCTGCAAAGTTCCGAAGCACCTGAAATAAGTTTCTTTTATCAGAAAAAAGCAGACGGACAAGAACATTTAAGTCTTGAATAGTACTAACTACTAAGTACTAAGTTACTAATGACTGAAGAATAGGCACAACCATAAGACATTTTTTGCATGATTACATGGTTATTAATTAGGCTGGAACTCGTGGATAATATTATTGCTATATGTTAGTTGTTTAAATTAATGGTCTCAATATAAGAAATTTTCAGCCTTCATATGTTTTAAATATTATAGCAAACATGGGCGGCAACCAATTTGATTCCTGCACCAAACTTTGGGATACTTCTCAATCTTGAGAGCCGATTAGGTCATACCATTCACTATCATCTCAATGATGGTGTTAATTTATGAAATATCAACTAACAACTTGGTTGTCCTCAAGATCATTAGTCTGTTATCTCAAAGTTTTAGTTACTGCAAGATAGTGATGATCAATCACAGATCTGTATGCATTGCTATCAGCTTAGTCAGCTAGGAATACCAAATTAACTCAAACTGTAAGCAAATAAGTCATAAACTGTTCGAATTATCTGCAATGAATTGTAAAGGAAACTGTCACAACGTGTCCAGCGCATCGAAGCTATCATGCTTATTCTTCCTGCTCTACACATCTACATAATGCTAAACGAGTTCCAACAAGAAATTGCGGAGATTTCATCGAGATCTCTAAGATCATTAAGCAAAAATCCACAAGAAACCTTAACATCAGTATCACAATTGAGCGATCGTCCATACTAACCAATCAAACAGGCAATATGAGGATGAGGAGGAACTAAGGAAGGAGAGAGACAAATGACGAACCGGGCATGATCTGGAGGCGATCGAGACCCTGACGCTCAAAGTGGGCGATGATCTCGTACGCACGCTGCTGCTCCTGAGGTGCCCACGACTCGATATGATGGAGGATGTCGACGCCACCGGCGGAGGCTCTGGCGGCGCGGTGGGCTGCGTATCCCTCCTCCCCTAGCACGGCCCGGTACATGGCGCCGAAGTCGATCACAGGCACCGTCAGCGTCCCGTCCATGTCGAACACCAGGCCCCGCAGCCGCCCCCTCTTGGCTCTAACTCCCGCGCCACCGCAGCCATCTTCGGCGGGGATCGAGGCGGACAACGACGACATGCAGGCGAGTTGGAGACGGCGAGGAGGAGAGAAGGGGGAGGAGACGGCGGCCGGGAACAAGAACAAATGTCGGCCGATGCGAAACGGTGGGAACGGAGTTTTTGTGCGCGCGTGCGTATGATGTTGATGTGTGCGGTCAGGAGCGCATAGAACATCCGAGATGGGTCCCCAGATTGCGTTTCCGCAGCAACAATAGGATACAGTGTAACCATTGGCAGAGTCAACTCACCTGATGCAGCCGCTGTGGGACCCACATGTATCAACCAATAAATGATTTAAACAGGTCATATTATATTTCATCGCAGACAGCAGATTCGATAACATGAATCGGAGTTGTTTATCTGACAGTGGGCCATTTCAGCGATACATCTACGATATGTTATTATAGGAACCACAAAACCTACTCGCTGTCCAATGGGCCAAAAAATAAGAATTTATTAACTTTGATGTATTTGTCGGTTTTAATAAGCTCTAAATTTATTGATAAAATATTATTTAAGTGTCTTATCATGTCTAAAATTAAAACGGTTTTGATGTCATGTGTCGTAACCTAATCCAATAGACCAACTTAAGTCTCCTCTTATATTTTTTTAATTAAGTTCAAAAAATATTTTATTGATTATTAGTACACTACACCTAGGAAAATATGGGTAATTATTAAATTATAGATTATGATAAATATCGATGATAATAAGATTAATCCAACTTGCATCCGATCAACATGTCAAGAATATCCCAAGAGAGTCTTGAACATTCGAATTGAATATTCTAATAAAATATATTATTATTTTATATTAGATTGATGTATATGTGGTTTAATTATTGACTAGGGTCCTAATCTCCTCATGCTGATTGGACCATCATATATGGAGCTGAGACTAATATTTATCCTATCAATATTCAATAAAGTTCTGATCTTAATAAATTTTTTTCTATTTGTATGGAATGTTGTGACTATACAAAAATGAGTCACTAATAAAAAAATATAAAATATTAATATTAATATTAGAAACTTTATTGAGAGGTGGTATATCGATTAATTGACCGATGATGGTGTTGTACCTAAAGGGATGTTGATCACCATAAATTTTGTTAGCAACCATCTTTAAATAGGACATTAAGCCAAAGGTCATATATAGGGCTAATAGTATCGCGGAAAGAGATGGAGTCACAGTCAACCTTGTTGGAGATAAAGACAACGATGGGACGAAGACAACAATATAAGACAGTTGTAGTTAGCTAACTAGTTAGCTAACTTTTTTAATGCATCATAGTAGATTATGTCGTTGGAGTTATCTATGTCGACCATAACTCTCTTTAACTATGGCATTAATCATTTTGATGGAAATGAGGTTATAATCATTGTTCGAGTTGCTTCATCTCCTCTTACTTGAATGTTATTTCTAAATTGCTTGATAGTTGGTGTTTTTAAATGGTGGCTCGAGTTTAAGCTTTGTGAGCTAACAAGCTACCTCTTTTTGGATTTTATTCCATTAATAAAGATATTGATCTTCGTTTTCATCAATCATTTATATTGTGAAGATGGAGATGACTCTCGATGCCTATGCATGTAGTGCTAAGATGCCCTCGATGAATGAATTCTTTTATTTATTCAATGAGGTCGAGATAATTCTTCGTATCATGACCGTGGTCTTAATGAAACTTATAATATTTAGACCTTTCTTGCCTTTTTGACGGGGATCTCATAGGGTAAAGGACTTGTGATAACCCTATTCTCCTTAATCTAAAGAAAGACTTTAATCCCTGACATGTTGAGGGAGGATCAAGTCTGCATGGTCGAGATGAGCTTGCTCTATTGAGTTCTCTCTATCGAGATAATCTAGGGTTTTCTTGAGAAATTAGTGCTTCAGTCGAGAGTGGTTCACTTCCTTTGAATTAAATACCAAAATGATCATGAGGGCTCGAAGATAAGAGCTTGTACGAGGATTAAGGGGTGCACATTAAGGATTCCTTGAATCTCATTTGTAAATATGATGACGAAGTCAATTAGCATCTTGTCTAGGGGTCTATGTCGAGATGGAGGTGTCAGGATTGGAAATGTGGGTTGTTGATTATCACGTGGGTTTTTCTTATAACATCAAAATATTATAAAATTTTTTAATGATGATTGAATTAATCTGACTTGGTTTGAATCCTCGTAGGTAAGAAACCTTCGAGAACATATGAGTGAGTCTCTAATGCTCAAACTTATATAGATCTACACAAAGATTAAAATCGGATGGAGTCTTGACATGGTTCACTCTCAAGCAAATAATAAAATACGTATAAATCAATAATAAAACATGATAGATATCAAGAGTAAATAGTTGCTATCTTAATTATTATGGTGTAGTGTGGTCTAATTGAAATTCCTTTTAACTACTTAGATAAAATATTTTAATTATATTTTATATTAGATTGATATACATATGACTTAATTATTACCGGGATCTTCATCCCCTCGTGCCGATCGAGCCACTACGTGTGAATCCCTAATCAAGACTAATATTTCCCTTTCATCATTTAATAAAATTCTGATCCTAACAAGTTTTCGTTGTTTTTGTTTTAATGTTATGATACTGATCGTGACTGTACGGGAAAAGCTATTAATATTAAAAATCACATTTGAAATATAATCAAGTGAAAACTTCTATTCTTATGGCTTCCAAATCACTAAGTTTTGCTTCCATCAAATCCTAC